ACGATGCAAACTGAAAAGTCGGAAGTCTTAATCAAAGCATGTTGTAGTTTTGTAGGATATTGCGTCCAGTAGCAAGAATAGGCAATGAGATGATAAAATACAGAAAAACAGCATACGTACAGCGTAAGGATCTTCAAATGCATAATTATTTAGTCTTAACAGGGCCATGCCACCCCCCTCCCACTTTCTTACGAAGCAAGTAGTTTTAAAGCTGCAGTAAGAGAGGTAAGAAGCCTTGGGCCCCTACTTTTTTAGCCTGGGCCCCCTAAAGTGCAAAGGTCGGGCATTTGAAAGTAATGGCTTACTCACCAACTCATGTTGAAGAGAAAATCGATCTAGAAATAATCATTGCAACTGCAGCGTACAGATTTCCTGTTTTGTGGACTGGCTCATAGTGAGAATCCAGAGAAAACAACTGCACGGACAGTTAGAATAACTCATAGGTTACTCAGAGACATTCCAGACGATGAGAATGTTAATACTCCAAATGAATGGGACAGATCTGATTGAATATCGACAAGTATGATGCACAGGTTTACAGGTGAAGTTCTCTCGTGCCTTTTTAAGAGTCATTGTTAGCAATGAACTTTAGCGCGTAATAAGTCGTCCAGGCGACTATACAAGCAATGGCGGTAAACTTCTACGGATCAACCAAAATTAATTTTGGGACTGTCTGGAAAGTCATTATGGAATGCCTATGCAGCGCAATGGCCCCTTTTTAGCAATAAGTCTTCTAAAAGGGACTTTTCCGTTTGCCTCATTTTTCAAAAGAGCCTGGCTGATATAGAAAAATTGGATAGACTTGATTCTATCAAATCTTAACAGTTTGCAAGTTAACAGGTTTGTACCTTGAAAATTGATGAAAACTATTTGAAACGTTTTGTTTAACAAAATTTTCATTTCAGTTATTGTTCGAAGCTTCCTTCGGGTCAGTATACATCTCTGAGACCGACCTTTAAAATTCAAAAACACGCTGATTATGGTGAATTCATGGCTATTGTCAGTTTACCGATAAACTGTCCTGTGAGAGAAACAATCGAGGTATGCATGATGTCTGAGCAACGACGTCGAACATTTTGAGTGACATTTGCATCACGTGTTTGAATGAGCCTATAATGATTTCTCTGATAAATTTTGGTTGGTGATTGTTGTGATTTAATCGATAGAAAGCATTCATACATTTCTCTATTGCGGATCTCTGCCCCTGGTTCGAAACACTATAGTAAGCAACATGACCCAAATTAGTTTTTCGTAAATTATTCAACAAATATAGGAAAATATACGAAATAATAAGAGATACATTTGGAAGGAAAATGCTCTTCAATGTCAATAATTTAGTAACGAAGCTACCAGTGGTGGCGCATAGGGGGTATGAGAGGCTAACTACCCCTCCCCCCCCCCCCATTTGTCAAAACATGGTCCACATGTTTCTTCTTAAAATTGATTAAAATGCGTTAGGTAGGGGTAGATCATATTTCCAAAAAATTAACCTTCTACAAAGCACTGAAACGAGGAAAATGGGCGTGGTTCCACTGGCCACGCTCATTACCCTCCCACTCTGCAGTGGCTGGCGCCACCACTGGAAGCTACCTCCTCTCATTGAAGGGAGTGCGTAGGCCTATCCTACCATTGGTGTTGGTTGCTCAATTCGTCGTCATCAATTGAGGCAAACACGAAAGAGTTGTATTGCTATTAAACTCTGTTAAAACAAGCCAAATTAATATATCAAGCTCATATTGCACAGGTTTTTTTATGACATCATATTTCATAACTGTATTCATTCGCTCCAGTTAATTCCAGTGGATTTTTACTTGAAGGGCGATTGGCTTCCAACCGAAAAACTAGCAAGAATCTCTGCGGCAAAAGAGGCGTGTGTTCGTCTTTGGAAGGCTAAAGAACTTGATGACTATTTCGTACCAATTAAAAGAAACTACGAATCTGACGAAACCGATGAAGATGAGGATGAAGTTGTGCATGCTGGAAGTGCCTGTATGAGTACGCCATTTGTTTATCAAAGAAAGGTAAGGAGAGTACTTTCATCGAGAGGCAGCGTTTACATCATTAGTGGTAACAAGAGAATGACTTTAATATACATCGCAGGAGTGTCAGCAGGAATTCTCAAAAAATTGTTTCTAAATCTACTGTGGAACAGATTACGGAGAATGGGGCTAACAAGTTTTGGGGAGGGGGTTATATGCAAAAGGCCAAAAGGATTATTTTTAGTACAGTTTTGAAAATTACGGGGAGGTTTAGTCCCCACATCCTCTTCCATACTTCTGCAGTCCCTGTATGGCTTTTCAACCGTTTTTCCGGGATCAAGTGTTGCAAGAACAGCCAATGCTAAAGAAAATATCATCAAGTATCGTCTTGCCGTGTGAATCTGCTTAGGGGAAAAGTGGATGATTATTCAGAGAGCCAAGGCTGATAGGAGAGATAATTTTCTCCACAATGCCCAATTGAGCAAACATTAGCAGAAATAGATGCAAGAAGATTGGCAAAGGCGATCGACTAGTTTCCTACACATGGCCTGTTTTTTAGCTTATATTTACATTGATTTTAGTTGGTTTATTAATGCACTTATTTGTGTGGCCGGGCTTCCAAGTACTAACAGCTTAGGTAATACCTTTCACCTTTTTTCTTAAGGTGTGTTCAGAGAAAAGATTACATTTTATTGTAGCTCTGTAATATAAGCATGAAAAACAGGAAGTGAATGTTTGGCCGTCCAATTTTTCAATTCTCCTTAAACATCGCAACAATTGTTTTATTTTGGCTCAAAATTGATGACAAAAGCTCTTTTTTTAGATCCCAGACTGTTTTGAGTTCGAAGGACCTTTTCCTTCATCTGGCTTATATCTCTATGCTTTGGAGATAGTTCTGGAGAAACCAAAGACTGGTCAAGAGTCTTTATGGAATATCTGGTATCGTGAAAATCGTCGACAATATGGCTTACTTGTTGCCAGGCCATTACCAAAGGTGTGAAGTAATTGCTATTATGTTCTGTATTGGAAATAAAACACAAGAGAACGTATGTTTAGTAAAAACGTAATAGAATATTTTACCAAGTGTGTGGTTTCTTTGACTCCACCACGTGGTTCTCTATGGCTATTCAATTTATTAATTATTCTAATTTATGCAATGCTGATTCAATAGGTACATAAATCACAACAGTACAATTGCTTTCTTACGTTTTAAGCGTTTGGTTTGAGCAAGAAACTGCTTGTACACAATGAGCTCTAAATGTAGTATTTTGATTAACGGTTCAGTTTATTTAAACTCATCATAGACATATACAGTTATCTAAATGACTTACTGGCAATCAGTAAATTTACAATGCACTTCTAAGGGCTGAACAGTTACCTTTTTGCAATGCCATTGTCGTTGAATAGAAAACTTTGAACCATTTCTCTCAAGTAGCATTTTATAGCTATTGGCTTAAGTAATTTTGTCTTTTCATATCAATAACTTTTTTATTATACATGATAATTCGTTCTCATATTCATGGATCATTGAGGGTATGTGATTTAAGAAGTAAATTATCTTCATTCCTACTTTACTTTATGTGACATTATTCATGTCTGGAACATTGAGACTCACTACTGGCCCCTCTATAACTCCTTTCTGTCCCTCCCCCCTTCCGACTCGTTCTGAAATCCATAGAGTGAAAGATTTTTGTTGCAACAGAGATCAGGACAAAAATATTCTTTAATAACAGAACAAGGACCAGTTTACATACAGCTCATATCAACACAGTGTAAACGAAACAACTTTCAGCCGTGACAGTGTAAACCAAATCGGTGAAAGATCAATCTAAACGGGGTCTCCGATTTACCAATATGGAGTAAATTCAACGTATATTTATTTTTAGGTACCGTGCTTCCCGCTGTTTACCCAGGCTGGAGAAGTCAGAGTAAGTGTAAAACTACAAGAGGGCGATGTCTGCCTGGACCGTCTGGAGCTTGAATGCGTGAAGAGTTTCCATAAATCAGCAATGACGATGTTTGCTGGTGATTTTGCATCTGGGAGATCTTTTTCCCTTGATAATGCTAAGTCAAAGGCTCTTCTTGTTGTTCTTGCAAGTGACTCTCATTCGCTTACAAAAAGAAAGAAGCAGCTGTTCGATTGCAAGTTTATGAGTGAAGTATGTGACGATCATTTCTATCCTGCAGATGGGGACCTCGATGATGCAGTGATAAGCAAGACCTACCTCGGAGACAGGAAAAGCCTGTATTATGTTGCTGCAGTTAGAAACGATATATTGATCACAGATAGAATTGCAGCTGGCAAGGTAACATTTGAAGAATACTATAGAAACAAATACGGAAAGATTATCAGTCAAGAGCAACCGTTGTTGCAGTCTGTCCATGCAAGTACAAGGATCAATTACACTGCCCCTAGGTATAGCAGCAAAGAGTGGAACAGCTCAAAAAGCGCATCTGTCGAGTTCTTGGTACCAGAGCTTTGTCAGCGGAAACGGATTCCTGCTAGCTTCCACTGTCAATCAGTGTGCGTGCCATCACTCCTTTTTAGGCTCGAGACGCTTCTTGCTGCCGAAGAATTAAGACAGCTGATGATTCGAGATATCTCTCCTTCGCATTTGAATTGCCGCTGTGTCAATAAAAAGGAGAGGGAATGTTTTGATGAGATAATGCGAAAACCGAAAAAGAAAAGAGGCGGTGTTTGCAGGTATGATACAAATTTTGAGCGTGAATTTGAAAATTTAAAGCTGGATGATGCATGTGGAAATCTTGGTGAATTATTGCACGGAAAAAACCATGGCAGAGACAAATGCGTCAAATTAGAGGTGGTCCTACAATCGCTAACAACTGCCAAAGCAAACGCTGGCTTTGACTTGGAGAGACTGGAGACCCTTGGTGATTCTTTTCTGAAGGTTGCAACATCTATCTACCTGTTCTACAAATACCCGATGAAGTACGAAGGAAGGTTGACAGAAAAACGTAAGCAGCTTGTTTGCAATAAAAAGCTGTTGAAAGTGGCAAAGCAGAAAGATTTGCAGCACGTTATGTGCAATACGTCATTTGGTGTGAAGCTTACAGGAAAGGATGAGGATACGGTGTATGACCATGCCAAAACTCTTTGGTTGCCTCCAATGTTCGCAGAGGTATCGTCTCATTTCTGCTAATTTTACTGCCTTTTGCCTGTATAGCTTGCTAAAAACGAGTGATTTGTACATATATAAAACTCTTGTTGTTTCAAAACATTGGTAAAGCGAACCACTAGTGCTGCCTGCAAAACTCGTAATCCATTCGCCTGAACATTAGCACAAACTGTTTATTGCACACGTTTCATCGAACTATCGATTTTATGGCATCTTTGTTGAAGATATAACATTTTTTGTTAGATTTGATTAGTTTTTGAAAATTCTCTGCTGTTTTTAAAGCTCTATGAACCGTCAGAATATAGACCGTCAGAAAATGTTTTTTGCATAAAAAGTAACTGGCTTGAAGCTAGAGAATTTCTTCTCTATTAAATCTATAGCATAATTTCTAAAGAAATATTTCCCATAAAAGTTGAAAAACGGAGGTTATGTATTCCAGGTCTTAAGCCATTCATCTAGTGAGGAAGAAAAGGTCCCTGTCGCTCCTTGTCACATTATCAGAGACAAATCATTAGCAGATGCCATTGAAGCTCTCATAGGCGCATTTTTGGAGCACGATGGAGTAAATGGTGCGCTAAAGTTGATGCAGTGGTTTGGAATTGACTGTTTCCGCAGCTCTCTAACGCTTATGCCTGCTCCAAATTGTAACAGCGCGTATGCTGATTTTGATCTGCCTCATGCAGCAATCTACGAAGAAAATGCGGAAAACCGAGCCTTTGTCACAAGACAGTACAAAAAAATGAGACTTTCTGCTGTTGAAAAAACGATAAATTATGAGTTTAAAGATAAATCGTTTTTGGTGCAGGCCTTTACGCATATGTCATATCATTTAAACAAAGTCACGGGCTGCTATCAACGGCTGGAATTCCTTGGTGATGCTGTATTGGACTTCCTGATCGTAGGGCACCTATGCTCTAACAATGGAGACCTAGACCCAAGCAGTTTAACAGACATCAAATCAGCACTGGTGAATAACAACACATTTGCCCTGCTCTCACTCAAATATCGTCTTCATAAAGGTTTGATGAGGCTGGAGTCAAAACTTGATTCAGTGTTGAGCAGGTTCGGTGACCTCACGAAAGAAGAAATAAATGATAATTTTAAGGTGTGTAACTTATATGATTTTATAAATTTATTACATCGGTATCTTAATTCATTAATTATAAAGTCGATGAACTAAACTTGCATCCTACTTTTTTTGGATACATGTGACAAGGAAGTGAATGTTGATTTCCTTCGCCTTTGCCGAGATCTGGTAAGAGGGATTTTATTGAGATTGTGAAGAAAGACAAAAATCCACCTTAAGTTTCAGTTAATTTCAAGACAATTTTTTTGCCAAGCCATTGTTTTCTTTTACTGTAATAAAATAAACAAGAATACCTATATGTTACATAACCTGGAGTTCCTCTTTCATCATCGCGACCTGAAGCTCAAGGAAATGCCAGGCGGCCGGCTCTTTTCTGTAGGATGCGAGCTTCCTGGTGCTTTTGATTTCCGTCCACCATAACTCCATAGACTCAAAGACATTTCATCTTTGAGCTACTTCAATGCATTTTATTTTTGTTTTCAACTGATAAGACGAAGAAGGTATCGAATAAAAAAGGCAAGGTAAAGAGAGCAAATTAAGGGTCAAGGTCCTTTATATCGGAAACAAAATATTGCATGATCTCTAGATGAAAAATTAATATAGCTACATAGTCCATCATTATAGTTATGATTGCTGCTTAAATGCCAAATATTGTCAAATGTATTTGATTGCAAAGATTTTTATACTTTTAACACCCGCTATCTTGAATACCTCTCATCTCGAACATTCGATATCTTGAATTAGTTTCAATTTCACTTTTGATGTAGTACAGGGTTCGTTATTTGAAACCATTCGCTATATTGACTAACTGCCATCTCGAACAAATGCCTATTTCCTGTGAGAATTTCAGACAGCGTTTGTCAACTGTACTTTTGCAATCATTTTGTGTGGTCTATTTAGAGCCCATTCATGATTCGACTGACGTCTGACGATGATCCAGACGAAGGCTATCATGCACCTAAAGTACTTGGGGACATCTTTGAGTCATTGGCAGGGGCAGTGTTTCTTGACAGTGGTCTTGACTTTCTGCAAGTATGGAGAGTTTTTTATCCCATACTGAAGCCGTTAATTGGTGAGTTGGTAGATATTTGGTGCCATGTGATGGTACTTGGATTCTTTGTCTTATCTTAACCTATGTTGTTGGGAGGGTTTAGCACCGCTGCTAGCAAGAGTTAGCTGAAAATGGGCGCGGTGATTGTGGGAAAGGGAGGCTATCTTACCCAAGTGCGAACTTTTCAGGGAAAATTATGAAATTTTCCTTCTTCTTGGGGTTGATGAACATTTTTCTATATCCCCTCAAAAAATGTGATTCCCACTTAACACCCGAGCTGCTAGGTATAGATATTTTTTTAGAGTGGGGAAAAGGATGCATCTTGAGGTTTTGAAGAGACGTTATAAGTAAGTAGAAAGAAAGTAAGTAGAGATATTATGAGTCAGAGTCTCCAAATTATGACGTAGCTACTTTCGCTTTATTCGTCATGAGTCGTGAAAAATCTTGCTTGTTTTTTAGATGCCTACGTGGAAAACGTGCCTTTAAATCCAGTAAGAGCAATTAAAGAGAAATACCCACAAGCCTCCTACAGGTTTGTTTGTTTTCAAATATTGGTTAAGATGTTACTTTGCGAAGTTTGATTAGTATATTTACAAAATTTCTGCTAGTTTGCCATGAACATAACGTTTAAATATAACGAGCAGCATTTACGTTTAAATTGGGTGCTGAAAAAAGCTTCAGTTGATTACTTAGAAAGTGGTGAAATTTACCAGTAAATCACAGATACAAAACAAATAAAACACGTATATGCTGAATAAATCTTTTATCAAGTAACGAAAAATTACTCAAATTTCATTAGCATCTTCATTTGATTCATACAGTCTTTTCTTGTTCAATAGGTTTGAAAACATGACAAATGGAAAGTGCATGTGTTTTTGGCGGATTGACGAAAAGGAATTTTACGGCATCGGACAAAACCGAAAAATGGCACAAGGAGCTGCCGCTCAAAAGGCTTTGCTCGAAGTTTGATCTGCTTTACGAGCAAATATCTCCATTTTCTACGGCAGATAGACACTGTGTTTGCAAAAAAGAATTCTTTGCACTATATTACGTAGTGTCGTCGTTTTGTAGTTCATAACTTTTTAATCTTTACGATTGGCGTTACAAAGCAATAATTTTTTAATTGACTTAGCTTTGTTTCTTGTATTTTAATGCTCTATTCTTTATTCCTCAGCTAAGGGGGCTGCCCTCTCCTTTTTGCTATTGTGGCACAAGGTGGTCATGTCTTTTCGCTCACAATACTCCTTCTTGCAAGTAATCACCCAAAGGATTTGTTTGATGTAATACGGTGTCTTGTTTAGCGCCACAACCTTGTTAAAACCAACTGAACGTTTCGTTGGAGCATTGTAAAATATTGTTTAAATTTGTTATGTGTTGATCAATATGCGATGTGCCCAGTTAGATTTGAAAGCAACCGAAATTGTTGTGCGGATCCAGCATTTTTCATAGTCATTCGCAATGGATTTTGGGTATGAAATAAAATCGTTGATAGAGATCCTTGTCACGGTTTAGAGGTCTTTTTACATTTCTTTATCACTTAGTTATGTGGTGGCAGGAACCGTGCACCAGTTTAATAGTGGAGGGGCTGAAATGGGTGTGCCTGAAAATTTTTTCAGGCCACGCCCTCTAGAGCGCCGGAAAACGCCCCTTTTAGAAAATACTTGCTTATTTCTGCTCAATTCTTATAAACAGTCTGGTTTAGGGAAGATATCAATAACTAAAAAAATAGATAAAATTAGCTTGAGGGTAACAAAACACCAAGCTGACAAAGTTAAAAAATGCATCATACCATTAAACAAGATAAAACATCTAGAAAATGAACGAAAAGGTTTCCAGTCAAGAAGAACTGCTACTTCATGGGAGTAAGCTATCCAAAGTTGCGTTAGAGTAAACCTTCAAAAAATTTTTTCGGCCTATTGTTGCAAATAAGGGGGGCTATAGCGGTGCATAGATAGAAGCCAGTTTTATCTCTGAAAGTTGAAGGGTTAGGGTTAACCGAAAACTCTGCTTAAGCCTACTGTTTCTATAATTTTTCTCTTGATAGCATTCCTTTTTTGAATATTTTCAACGTCCTTTAATTCAACTCAACTTTTTTATATAATGCTACCTAAATTACAGTTAAATTTGCATTATATGTGACCATAAAAGTTCATTATTTTATACGAGCTACAAGCAGTGCAACAAAAGTATGGACATACAGTTGATTCTGCTTATAGTCACATCGCTTAAAGTTTTACTACCAGGGCTGCTGCTAGATTTTTTTTTTTTATTCCTCTAAAAAGTTACAATTTACAGATAACGAAATACTCTACTAACAAAATTACTATACAATACTACTAGAACGATACCCCGGGGAGCAGTAAGCTATGTCTACCCAGTGGCGCAGAGAGGGGGGCAGGGGGGCAATTTGCCCCAGGGCCTCGGCCTGAAAAAGGCACCGAAATTATTTTGAAAATTTTTTTAAAATGTCTAGAAACTGAAAATGCATTTAAAGATATATTTGTTAATATCGAATATGATGGCAGTAATTTCATTGGGTCCGTACGCTGGGTCTTGTTTGAATTAAAGGTCTATTAGCTTTATTTATTGAGTCTGGGGCCCCGAGAAAAGCTGAATAAACCTTAGATCACATATTTTACGGATTCATCTTTTAACCTGAGTTTCCCTGAGTTTCGCAAAATCGTACTTATTGATGGAAGGGATCCCTGATAAAAAATTAGCTAACCCATATAATCTTGTTTTAATCTATGGCCCATTCAGGTGAGTTATGTTTGCATTTAGACTCGTTGCATAAAGCTATATTATATTTTTGGGGCCCCTTTCAGCAAACTAGCATTAATAAAGAACCGCTTACGTTCAACAATGACTCAAGACAGACTATCAAGCCTCGTGACTCTTTCGATCGAGCACGAACTAGCAAGACAAATTGATTACGACAATATAATTGATCAGTTTGCAACTGAAAGAGCAAGAAAAGTTAACTTTTGAAGGACGAAAGAATTGAAAAGCATAGTTTAAATAAAAGTGCGTAGAATAAAAGTTTGCTTTCATTTTAAATTTTAATATTGCGTGGTTCACCAGAAAAAAACAGTCAGAATTGAAGGAACACATTTTGAAGTCCTCTTTAATCAGCTAAAAGAATGTGGTCAAAGAGCGTATTTAAATCGCTTATCTTTAGAATTAATGTTTTTTATTACATTTTATGATATTTTAACCATATTCTATAACGTGCGCAAACGTTTGGAAATAATGGGTGTTTCCCATTTTAAAAAGGGCGTGGTCTCGAAAAATTATTCTATCCGACTCTAGGGCCCCAACCGGGACTTTGCCCCAGGGCCCAGGCCGCCTCTCGGCGGCCCTGTGTCTACCCCCGAGGCCATTACACAAAACGTAAAAAATAACATTCAAGATACAAGTAAGGGGAACCTTGAAGCCAAATTATTGCGAGTAAAGATTTGAGGGCTCAGTAACAAAGAGTGACAAGTACTATGTTTGGCTGCAAGCTTCCCTAAGACATCACAAAGAGAGAGAAAAATAGTATTTATACGACTACTGAACTGGACACACACAGAGGCTGTTAGATTCCAGAGGCCCCGGGGCAAAACCGAAAGAAAAGTGCGAGGAAAACGAGCAGAAATCGTTTGCGACCATGCCTTTAGATTAGCTTAAGGTGGCAGTCTACCTTGAAAGCAGCAATATGGAAAACTGACCAAAACTTGATAATGGCTTGAGCTTGAAGCTTGAAATTTTCAGGTTATAAAAAATGTAAGATTTAAAAAGCAAAATTAGATGTCTGGAAGGGTGTGGCAATGACGTTGCCATAGAAACATAAAAACAAAGGCCGAACTCCTGCAAATTGTGGAAATGATATCTCATGAATGCTAAAGGCTATGGTGAAAATTTTTTAGCAACAAGTTTCTACTTACATAATCTATGCAATGAACACACAGTTTTATGATACCAAGTCAGCTAGATATTTTATTGTGAAAAGTTGAGTTTTCTAAAATATTTTGTGAAATATTTCTTCTATCAAAAATCTATGTATTTATTGCATAGAGCATTAAAAGATACATATTATTTGAAAATTTCATCTTCATATCTTATACAGAGCCAAAGATATCTTAATCACAAGCTTAATAGATGTCCGTATTTGAGATTTGAGAAAAGTGCATTTGAAGTTTTGAGATGTACTGATTAACTAATTTTTCTTATCTTTTGCAACTTGACTGAATTTTGGTTGTGTATCACATATAATGTACCCATAGATACAACCAAAAATGTTAAAAGAAGTCAATAATAATGTTTAGAGGCATCATAAAGGTAACTGGGGGCTCAAACTGGTTGAAATGTCCATGTTCATTACTCGACAGGTCCGTCGACTTTCTGGGTCTCTTTTTCTTTCCTTCCTTATTTCCTCTTTTCCTTTTTAGACTTGCATCAACTACCTTTTTAGAAATGTTTTCAGGCTCTGCAGAAAGACCAAAAGCCCTTGATAAATAGCTATTCCTAGCTACATCAAGTCTTCGCTTCTTTATTGCTTGAAATTTTTGTCTCCGATCTTTGTATTTCTGTGATGTTTTTAAGGTGGCAGCTTGTAATTTTTGTCTCTGATCTTTGTATTTCTGTGAAAACTTCCTTGCAGCATCTTTCAGCCTTCTATTGTCAACAGTTTTCAAATAATTTAAAGTTTGTTTGGCCACATTTAAGTTGTAATGCCTTCAAAACATCTGCAATTGATGATGGCCCAATATTGAAATTTCCAACAGAATGGCAAACAGTGATTGTAACTTTTCGTTTTCCACTAAATCACTGATCTCTAACCACTAAACCTGACAGGTTTTTGGACATCATGCCCATACCATACCATGCAAGGACTCATTCCAGTGGATGGTTTATCAAATTCAATCATTGTATGCTCTTCTATTTCAATGATCTCTATAAGCCTAGCAGCTGCTTCATTCATAATGTTTTCACATACATTTACTGACACTTCCTCAAGATTTTTTAACTGTTTGCCATAAGGTGACTTTGAGACAGTGTTTGGAAGACTCATAAGCCAAAAGATCTCTCCAACCCAGCACATTCAGTTTCTAGTAAAGCAACAACTGATCTACAGTTTATTTCATATGTGGTCTGTCCCCCTTTCTTGTCTGCCCTCTTAGATCCACTGAGCTGTTCACTGGTCTCAAGTGGTGAACTTGTATGACAATGGCTACATACAAGATAATATTTCTCTGCAAGGCCAAACTTATTGCTAAACTAGAGGCCAAACTAAGCAGCAGGCTTAACTGTGCCTTTGGATTCCTACATGTACGACAAACAGCAATTTTGTTGATTGCATTCATCAAAAGTTTCTTATCTATAAGGCTGTAACCATCGTCAGCACTGCCAATATTGCCAGCAGCAGCATCCTTCGTTTCTTTTATCCGGAAATTGGTCTTTTTATGGGACTAAGGTTTTCTGAACCAAAGAAAGAGTTCAAAGTTTATAAAGTGAAGCACTGTGTTCCTCTAATTCTTTGCTTTGATCCGTTGTTGCTTGTGAAGACGAGGTAGGCAGTACATCTTCATCACCTTTTCGCTTTGGCCTAAGTAATCCAAATCCTTGTCATTGCTTCGAATACATAGTTTTTTCTACTTCCAGCAGATCTTTTTCTTTTCTTCGCTTTACCGACCTAAATTTTCGATTAAAAACTCTCTTTTCAGGGCGTTCATTGTCGGATAAGTTCGCTTCATAAACAGAAGGACTCTTCGAACAACTTTCGTCGGCCAGGCCAAACAGAAACTATGCTTCATTCGTTCCCTGTGTTTTTTAAAGTGGTATAAATGCATTTTGGGATAGGGTAGAAGACCATAGATTACGTAATATAATTTTTTTTCAAAAACGGGTCCCATGGGTGTCAACAGACCCCCTAGCAACCGATAGAAACTTGGTTGCTAAGGAAAGATGATCAGCCCAGGGGATAAATAAATCAAATTTTCGCAAAAACTACAACAGTTACGGGAAAACTTCCTTCAAAATCAAATTTTGCAGTAATTTTCCTGATCATATCCAAGGAAAAAGGAATTTTGACAAAATTTTCATAACTGACCATTTTCATGGTAGACTGCTACCTTAAATTTGTTAAATTTCTTGCAATTATTTAAAACGTTTTACTGTTCTTAGTCATATTTCTGTTACTTTTAATTAAATCTATTTTCAATGGAACTCATTACTTTATGGGGCCCTCTAGAGTCTATACCGCAAGGTTCCCTTGCCCCCCCCCCCTCCTCTCGGCGGCTCTGCCCACTTCCATTTACAGTAGCATAAACTTTAGATCCACATCACAAAAACTATTCAATTTAGGACCATTGTCAGTAACACTCCGTGTACTGTCAACTTTTCGAGTAGCATCAATTGTCTACTTTAGGATGGATTTATCCGATAGAAGAATTTATCTGAAGTGAAATTCTGAATAACAAAAGAGGACAATTTCCTTGTAGATAGATCCCAGCTTTAGTCTTTATATCTTTTATGTTTTTAATTTTACTAATGAAATATGTATTTGAAATTCCAACTTAGGTTTTGAGTATAAAATGAAATGTTATCTTTGGCAAAAGAGGGATCTTGGTAACAGTGACGGTTTTGCGGTATCCTAGGGGGCTACAGCCTAAGGCCCCACGCTAATGGTAGCTGGGAGGGGCCACACAAATAGAGGCCCGCACACTGCATATGATTTCAGCCGCGAGCTCTGCTGTCCCTAAAACCCCTCCTGCTCGGTAGGGCACCCACCATACCACAATGGTCTTCGTTCATTCTGAAACAGGAAGCTGAGATTGCGCTTGCGCACTGTTTTACAACATAGGTGCAATCCAAAGCAAGATGGCGGTCGACATTTATAAGGTGTCAGCTAAGTTGCAGCATGATCTTAAAATAGTTTGACCGGATAACACGCCAGAAATCAACATTTGACATATTTTGGAGATGTAAAATTAACCAATAGTAAAGATGCTAGCAGAAAATTCTGGACAGCTATTTGTTAAAGTTGTATTATCGTCATCGTGATGTTTCACAGCAGAAAAGGAAGCCACGATGTGAAGAGGGCGAATTCAAGGTTTATAGACCCTCGGAGAGATACTCACACTCGATTCAGAGCCCTAAGAACGTTGTTAGGTGAGAACGTTTCCTACCATAGCATGTCTTAACTCAGTAAACTTCATTGTTTTTAAGAAACAAACTTGTACTTGTATCTCTCCTCTCTGTTTTGTGATATATGCCATTTTCATACCTTATTGATTACTTCAAAATAAATATAACAATATTTGCCAGTTTATCCATATTTCCGTCATACATACATGAGAAGCTGATAGTGGCAATCTGCTTGAGTAATGATTACATGATTACAATTGCACCTAAAAAGTTTCCAACTGCTTAGGTAAATCATTTTTGCCCTTAAAAATTCTTATGCAAGGATAAGTCTGGTGTTTAGCTGAGGAAAATGATGCTATGATGAAATTAGAAGCGTCTACTCTGATAACTGATTGACTGTTGAAAACCTCTTAGAAATATTATTTTAGAACATTTCAATCCCTTGTTCACAATCTTAGTCTAATTTGATATAAGATTGACCTTACTTACTTTATATTACTATGTCCCAACACCTTTTGCTGACCATTTAAATTTCCCATTGGCTAGACTACAAACTAAACCTATTGTTATGTATCCAATCAGCAACCTAGGGCTAATTAATGTTTTCTGGGCCAAAAACATGCTGAAAAGCCTATTGTTAACTCTGAGTGGTTGAATGACAGGACACAGTGCCTGCCTAGCTTGTGAGATGATCTCTTTTGTGATAAAGACTAATTTTAGTTTAGTCTGCTCAATTCGCATGAAATAATTCAAAAAATTATTCTCTTCAGATCAGCAACCTCTTGGTGAAATCAAGAAACTATTTCAAAGACATTACGTAGATATATATTACATTTTCTATGAGGAATTGAATGCCCTTGTTGCTGCATTCAAGTCAAAAGGTAACCGCAGTTTGATTTCGTTATACAGATATGATGACGATAATCTATTGGTTTCTAACAGTTAGTAATGCTTGGCTGCAAACTAACTTTTTTATTACCCCATAATTATTGCATGATGGCATTTGTATTAATCAAAAGCTCTTGATGAATGAGTTTAGATCAAAATAGTTCCCTAGGGTCATTGTTAATGACTGGTATTTGAAACAGAATATTTTATCAATAAATGTAATAAGAGTCTAGGTGTATTGCTAATAAAACATTTCTTCTGGCAAACCTCAGCAAATAGGAATTATGAATAAAAATTAGTAAAATTAAAATACGACTTTGTACATGAAGTTTAATATTATTGCAATGTACTCAAGCTTCATGTGTATGGTCATATTTCAATTATTCTAACTTTTATTTATTATTCATTTGACGTACAACACCATTGACTATATTGATTACTTAACAAAAAGTCTTTGGAAAGAAGAAAATATTTTGCAGAAGCTATTTCCAAATCGTTCACTTAAAATGTTTTTGATTATTTGCATTTTACATTCAATTAATAATTTTATGCACATATTGTATTTCAATCTGTTTTGTATATCTTTATGTCATGTTATGCTTATAGAAGGGTTCATAAAACTCATCACCAGGATCTGCCTTTTATAGGTTACAGATCATTTAAAGAAGAGTTAGAAGGACTTTTACTAATCCTTGAGGTATATTTTAATTTTGCTTATAATTTAATTTCAACAGTAAGCTAGATCTTGCTAAGCAAGGTCTTGTTTATTTGGAAAAATAATTTGTTGTAAGTGTTCCAAAACATCAATTTTGCATGGTGAGTTTTCAGATTTTAATTGATCTACTCTTATAAGTAAAATTATAGTTGAAGGAACTATGAGGAACTATTAATCATTAAAGTAAGGTTTAATTATCTATTTACTTGTAGAAGTTGCTACTTCTTGTTCCTGAAAGAATATATGAAAGATGGCAGTTCAACAGCATTGGTACGATTTTTCAGATATAGATTCATACTAATCAAATCTTGCTAAATTCTTAACATGGGTGCATATTTGTATAATGTAATTGACTAATTCATTTCAATCTTCTAGTTTAACTGACATAGCTAGGCAATGAATTGATGCTAACAATGATGATAATAATAATATGTCTAGATATACTGGTGACTTGAAAGTCAGAGGCTACTTAGAAAAAGACAGTACCTCATTTTCAGTTACCTAGAAAAAAACAGGATAGCCAAAGGTCTCACTTGAGCTAATGAGTACCTGACCGAGACCCTGAACAGCTTTTTCCTCCAATATGGAAACATGTATTAGTCAGTGGCGGACACTTGGGGGGGGCAAGGGGGGGCAACTGCCCCCCAATACTTTAGAGAACAATGGTCTTTTGTTCTTAAACAATGGGAAATGTGACATCATCTCATTAAAACAATAGGCTTGCCCCCCCCCAATATTTGACCAAGTGTCCGCCACTGGTATTAGTAGAACTTAAGTATGAATTGCTTCCCTTTTTCAGCATGAAGAAATTAGGTAAAATTAATTTAAATCTAACAAGTGAAGATGAATTTTCACCAAATTTACAGCTTTTGAGTAGCTTTTAAGTTTGTAATAAAGTCTTTGTAGGAAATTCAATTGATGAAGCGCTGGTTAGTTTGTTGTTTTATGTTAACTGGTAGTGACTACAGCTGTTTGCATTTGGGGTTATTTTATGTGACTTTGTCCAGGTTAGGAATGATGAATTTATATTATCTTGGCAGATTTTGTTCCCCTTTTAACTTTACCAATAGTATCAGTTATAGCCAAATATTAAAACTTAAATTGTTTTCAAAAATCTAACTTGCACAAATGTTTTTTATGGTACAATTTTTTAAGGTCTTGTAGTATGATTTTTCTTTGCCCCAGAATGATTCTTGTTGCCTCTTTTCTTTAAATTCTATTCAATTATTGTACATGAAAGATGCCCTTTGGAAGCCCCAACTGTCTTGGAGTAGCGTGTTGGGGCTTATAAAATACAGTGCAAAGAGACCTTCAGGAAGTTTTGACAGACCCTTTTTATTGAAGGTAATTTAATCCAGGAACGACTAGGACTCATCCATTTCAATTTTTCTCAGTATAATACATTCATTTTTTTTAATTTTTTCCATTTATGTTTTTAACAGGATTAATTTTACGAAGACTCCTTCATCATGGAAATATGATAGGGGTAATAAATTTATATGTTTACAACATACTCAGATTTTTCATGTTAATCAATCATTGTATTAGCAGAAATTTTACTATATGCCTGATTTTATGACTTATTTCAAGTTTTTTCTGTCACTTTGATTTGCTGTCCTTTTATACTGTGTTAGAAACATTTACTGTACCTTTTGCTATTAAGACTTTAAGTATTTTAGTTTTGATCTTAACAAGTTTTTTCTGTCAATCCTGTTTAAGAATTTTATGCCTGCTTAGAGACATACCAGATATATGCTGATAATTTGTTTTGTTTTAAGGTCAATTTTCTGCTACCTTAGAAGTAACACAAATGAAAAAGATAAAATAGTCTCTTTGCATTTTACAAATCTATTAAATCTCATACCTACTAATTCTAGGTGCGAGAGATTGGGGTAAAATTATATCTGTTGTGGCTTCAAGATCTGCAAGAAAATGTTGATGAGCTTGGTTTGCTGGTGTATGGGAGCATTATTCCTGGTTTCCCCAACCCTCTCAACAAAATCAATGCATCAAAAATATACAGACCCCAGAAGTTCATTGAATCTGTCTATTCTTGTATGAGTGGCACTGGATATACAACAGTGACATCATCTCAGTATCTGTCATATCTTGAGATTGACTCAGGTATTTATGCTGCTTTGAAAATGGCTAATTATGTTTGTATGCTTTCGAAATCAGCCTGGTTTGAAAAAGTTCTTTAAGGTGTTCTCTGCTGAAAGTAGTCTGCTTCCAGTGTGATCGCTTATGATCACGTGATCTTGATAGCCATTGCTTAGAACTGATTGTTTTCATCTTTTTAAAAAAGAAACATATTAATAGTCTCAGATCCATAAATTATATTGCTGCTTAAAAAGATACCATGTCAAGGCCTACTAAAGACTAAAAACATTTATCACAACTAGATGCCTTTATGTAAGGTATTATTGATTTGTGCATCATCAAGTACTTAATCATCACGTAATTGACTATAAAATTGTCAGAGATAACATTTTATATCTGTGTTTATCTTGTACAAAGTACACCTTTCCTAGAATCACGCAACCTTAGTCAAAGTTCTAATTTTGATTCAGATCATCATTATTTTAAACTGAATTTTAGACCCCGTTTACACTGTGCCAAATAAATTTTATCCACATAGAACTTGCTCTGGTTGATTTGCGTTTACACTGTGCCGCACAAATTTTATCCACTTTGCCCTCCCGTTTACACTGTGCCTGATAACTGCAGTCACGTGACCTAAATCGTGCACGGAACGCCCAAAACGAAGTCAACTCTGGGCAAAAAAATAACAACTAAATTCCTGCAAACGTAAAAAAAATTAGTTCTCTCTTCAGAATCATCTGCCTCTCTTTCAGACAAAGTCCGAAGATATTGTGAAAAACAAATAAGGCAAAATTAGTTTTAATAATTCGTTCTCTGAAACAAAATGACGCTTAAATAGCGAAGAAAGTGGGGAAAGCTGACAAGGATGCCAATTTTACGTGGACTGATGAAGATGCTGCACTTTTAACACGAGTATTTATCGACTACAAGGCAGCCAGAATGGAGAAAGGTCTTGATTGGTAGATAGTGAAAACTAAATAGGAAGAAATGGCCAATCACTTTCAAGCAAGATACGATGTGGATAATGTTTATCCGAATAAAACCGCTTACATTGTACCACATAGCTATCCGAACTAATTTAATCCACTTTCCTAGGTGAACTAATTTTGTTCGGATTGCCGCTCTCAAATTCGTGCGGAAAGCGTAGATCTAGTGTAAACGCGACGCCTGTCTAAAGTAATTTTGATGCGGATAAAATTTAACCGGCACAGTGTAAACGGGATCTAAATTTTGTATTTTCCGGACTATAAATGCAAATCATTGTTTGACTGGTATACCTGGGAGATGCCTGTAGATAGATTTGATCACACTAAATGGTTTAGCATTGTATGAATACCGCCTTAAGTGTTGTACGAACAACAAACAAATCCTCTATTTACCTAAAGTATCAGATACAAGGATTACGGGTCCTTACGGGCTTTTAATTGTCAATTCATTTGATCCAGTAAAAAAATCTTGATTGCAAAGGGAAAATGTGAATGGAGCCCAGAGGGGAAAATCTAAATTTTTAACGATCTTGATTTCTTGTTATCAATTGTAATCCACTTTCCTATTTTTCATGGGTTGGTGGGCCTGTTCCATAATCGCCATAAACCCCAAATTCGCTACCAGCAGACTCCATCCCTTAGACCGTTGCAGTCACATTGTTTTACTATTTAGCAAACCTCTTCAATGCTAGCTACTTTAAGGGTTTTTCAATTTTCCTACATTTTTGAACGTCCAAAGTGGTTTGTTGGACATGGGAACAAAATAATTTTTCTATAAAGTCGTCTTAAAACATCATCCAATATAGTAAGTAGCATATCACATGTTTTGTTTGGCAATAATAGTTGTTTGGAGACGAATATTTTCAGAGTGTGTTTGATGGGTGTTTGATGTGCTCGGTTTTTGGTTCTAGTCTCTCTGTTTTAATAGTGGGTTTGTTGAAAACACCGTGATTTTAATCATCTTTGACAAACAATCACTATTTAACAAACTCATATATTCCAGCCATTCAAAAGGATTGCATTCCTACTAACCAAAAATGTTCCGTTGTTTATGAATTTACGTGTTAAGTGTGATTTTGGCTACGTAGGACGCACAACCCAAAGATTGGGGGATAGGATGAAACAACATGTTCTTTCCAACATAAGAAACTAAACTGCCCCTCAAAGAGTACAGCCTCCTCGATCTTGTAGTTCTAGAAACAAGTCATTCTTCCATCGAACAACGTCTACTAGATAACAAAGATTGTGCAAAACTCGATAATGACGATATGTTTCAGATAACTGGCAGAGCCCGGTCGTCTTTCCATCGATCTAAATACAAACTCATATAATTGTTTCCCTTTTTATAAAGAAATTTTTTACTTCGTTTGCAGATTGGTGCAACACGGAAGCAATAATACCATTGTTACCACCGCCCCAAGGCGAGAAAAATCCCTCACCTGAAAGTCTTACGACAAGGTTCTTAGACAGGTTGTTGGATTATATGACTAAAAAGGTAAGGCGAATTTAAATTCGATTGAGTTGAAATACAGGAAGAGTCGTTTCCTTCAAAAAAGAACGAAAAGAGAACAGGATGTAGTAGAATATCTTGTTATGAGTTATTAGCAATGAAATTGTAAAGCTGTAAAGCTTTTTTGCAATTCTCTCCAACAAGCTAGCAGGCAACAAAACATTTTCAAAATAAGCTAATATGCGGTAATTTTCCTATCTATGTATATAACGTAATGCACGTTTGCAACAGAACATTGTCAAATTAAAGACGATTTTCGAAATTATTTTGCTTTCTAGTTCTTATATTATTCACTCATTTCAAGGCACCCAACATAACTAATATGATATTTATCAAAGTAAACTTAAAGTTGATTATATTTTGAGGCTTGTCTTAACTGATTGACTGCTTCTTCTTCTCCTCAGATGATGGATGTCAGCTGGAAGGACATAAAAATGCGGGAAAGTGGTTTCTACTACTTATTCCAGCATTTCAAGCGGTTTTACCTACCATTTATCTTTCCTCTTTGGAACCCTGTTGATACGCTATATGTGAATCAGGAAGGTAAGCTATTAATTCTTGAATATAAATTATTCCTTAACTTAACCTCATCAATAGTGGTTATGATCTCATATAAAATGCCCCTTGTAAACCAGCATTTGCTGAAGGGCTACCCTCCTTTAATTATTTGAAAATGAAAAAATGATAATTTATGCTACTTATGCAACGTTAGAAAATGCTTATAGACTGCTTATAAGATGCTTCTAGTACTTTGAATTGGGTCTAACAAGAAGATGGAGCAAGTGCTTGTTTAGATTATAGCAATACGTATGCAGGGGGGTATTTTTCCAAATTTTTTTCGCTAAAACCTCCAAGTAGAGTTCAAAAATTTCAAAAATCAGAAAAATTGGCTGACCTAGGTTCTGTCTTTTTGAAGGCTTATCAGATTCGGAGAAATTTTGCATATTTGTACCAAAATTCGCTATGTTATTTTGACATGCATCCGAAATGAAATTGGATATTTTCCTTCTTTTCTCCTGCTAGTTCCTAGAAGAGAACATTACTCAGTACATCAATCGAGTGTTTCCCCTTTTTGCTCGGAACTTCTTTAGCACTTCTCAATTTTTTAGAAATCACCTATTTTCCAAGGCTTTGAATTGTTTCAGACACATTTACAGCTGGTCAGTTATGCATATATTGCTATGTCGCTTTGCTAATGGTTAACAAAGGTCATATTGCAAAGATCATTTGCGTTTTAGGTTGCTCTTACTAGTCCACTGAATAATTTACTGAAAATAACATCTTTATAAAGTACCCAAGTCTTTTTACTGGATCATATCACTAACAGAAAATCTATTTCTTCACCGCTCCAGATGTGCAACAAGCCCAAATCGTGGAAACAAAAACAGGCGAAGAATCACAAACACAGATGAATTGTCGCTGGAGAGTCCTATGCTGGTTCGTCGCCTTCACTATTCGATTTAAAAAGCCGGGACGACGGAACGAGGAAGACCGGATATCGGAATCTTCGAACACTGATGACTCGGTTAACAACGATGCTTACTCCCCTGCAGCTACAACAGACGAGAAAAGCATTCTTCAGTACGAAACACTGTTCGACACTGCCGAAGTAGTTAGATCAGTTCTCTACTCAACGAAAGACAATGTTGTCTGCTTACATGAAGTATTTCGCCAGGTATTGTTCCTTACCACTTTCTAAAAGCATTGTGCTAATTGTCATTGATTTAATCTCCTCTTCCTTGATCACAAACTTTCTGGCAATATTACAAAAATCTGTGGTATTTTGATCCGAAATTCGTGGCTCGGTGATAGTCAAATATTCTTTCTCGATGCTTTACATGCGTCACCAATTCATTTATTCTATGTTCGGAAAGACGTTTTTCAATATTATCATTTCCACGAGAAAGTTCCACATACCCTCATTTAAATTTCTACATTTTCCAAATATATTCGGTAGATATTAAGTAACGTAAGTAAATTAAGAAATTCTCGGTCGGTAGAACCTTTCCTTTCATCAGAACGACTTTCCTATGAAAAATGGTGGAAAACTTCTAACAAAAAATGTCGTACCTTAACCATGGCCCTGCCAGACCACCCTCCGTTTATTCATTAAGAATATTGAAATGATACGATTTAATCTTATTGTCACATGCAGTCGAGAAAAGTGACGGTTGCTAGGTTGGAGCGCCCTTGTTGGCGATATTTCTGAGACAGTTTTTCGAAGGTTAGTTATTGACCTTGAAATTTTTACAATTTTTCTGTATAATCCTGTAGGTTAATACTCTCTTACTCTTCTACTTTAGGGATTCCTTATGCCGATTTCATGGTCTGACATAATTTGCAGAGTGATGACTGTGTATCATGAGTGGTTCAAAGTGAGTCAATACACCGTGTATCTTTAGCTTGATATTGTGTCAATCATTAGCATCATTTTGTCTCACTCGTCAGCAAGATATTGTGTCACTCATTAGCATGATATTATGTCATTTATCAACGTGATATTTTGTCATTTATCAGCATGATATTGTGTCATTTATCAACGTGATATTGTGTCATTTATCAGCATGATATTGTGTCATTTATCAACGTGATATTGTGTCATTTATCAGCATGATATTGTATCATTTATCAGCATGATATTTTGTCATTTATCAGCATGATATTGTGTCATTTATCAGCATGATATTGTGTCACTCATTACCATGATATTGTGTCACTCATTACCAGCATGATATTGTGTTACTCATTACCATGGAATTGTGTTACATATCATTAACATCATATTGTGTCATTTATCAGTTTAATATTGTTTCATTTATCAGTATAATATTGTGTAACTCGTTACCATGATATTGTGTCGCTCATTACCATGATATTTTGTCATTTATTTGCATGATATTGTGTCACTCATTACCATGATATTGTGTCGCTCATTACCATGAAATTGTGTCACATATCATTAACATCATATTCTGTCATTTATCAGCTTAATATTGTTTCATTTATCAGTATAATATTGTGTAGCTCGTTACTATGATATTGTGTCGCTCATTACCATGATATTTTGTCATTTATTAGCATGATATTGTGTCACTCATTACCATGACATTGTGTAGCTCGTTACCATGATATTGTGTAGCTCGTTACCATGATATTGTGTCACTCATTACCATGACATTGTGTCGCTCGTTACCATGATATTTTGTCATTTATTAGCATGATATTGTGTCACTCATTACCATGATATTGTGTCGCTCATTACCATGAAATTGTGTCGCTCATTACCATGAAATTGTGTCACATATCATTAACATCATATTGTGTCATTTATCAATATAATATTGTGTCACTCATTAGCATGATGCTGTGTAACTCCTTACCATGATATTGTGTCGTTCATAACCATGTGTCCCTCATTACATTAGACGATCGCCCACCTAGCGTACCTAATTATATTAGAATAGACATTAGTCATAGCCTATGGTTTTTTGCAATAATAAAATCAAATATATTTTCTATAAATGGGTAAGCTTTAACTGTTGTCTGATACCGCCATTGCAGTAGGAACACTTTTTATGAATAGTTGTTATTATCTGCTGCATAAGTTAAAACCATCTTTTAACCATCAGCCTACAGAGCGACCAATATTTATGCAAGAAAATCTGCTACCAGAGGGAGCAGAGACGCTTGTTATCGAGAACACTGCAACTCTTGTTCCAGACGATAGATCACCTTTATTGCGCACATCGTCTTATAAAGA